GCAGCCCCACCTCACCTTACAGCATCCGCTGGCAGCTTGGTACCTGCCAGGGAGACGTGCCTGAGGGCACAGGCCTGGCTGAAAAACTCCTTGATGTCAGGGGAGATGGTTTTCACCCTCCTGAAAAGGATGGGCACAACGTGGCATCATCTGCCACCCGGCACCGGCCACCCGCCTGGGTACTGCACTCCCCTCCCCGCCGTGCCGGGGGCTTACTTGTGGGAGTAGACGTTTTTGGAGAGATCCAGATGGACGAGGCTGGCGTGGCATCCGTGGACCAGGGCTCCAAAGAGCTGCCGGGGTGGGGATGCGAGCCGTGTCGAGGACAACCCAGCCGGTGCTGCGGCCCCTCGCACAGCCCAGGGATGGATGGGTGGGTGATGGTATGGGACGAGCTATGGGAGGTGCTAAAGGGGTCTGCCCCATGCTGGGGCTCCCTTCTTCCTCCTGCTCAACCCCGAGTCCCCCAACCCGCCTACGGCAGCGGGCACAGAGCAGGGCATCGCTGGGCTGGCTGCCCACTGCCCCACACACGCCCTGTCTCCGCAGCCCCGTGCCAGCCTGGATGGGGCGGCAGCACCCCCCAGCAGCACGGCACGGTTTCAGGAGGGGGACCGAGGGCAAGGGTTCGCTGCCAGGACACCCTGCGTGGGTACTCACAGCATCCAAAGGGCAGTCCGTGCCGGCCAGGCTGAGGTGGGAGAGCGAGTGGCACTGGCGCAGGAGGCTCTGCAGATTCTGCGGGCAGAGAGGGCTCAGCAGCTTTGCCCAGGACCCTGACCCTCCCCCCGCCCCCAGCACCCTGCAGCCCAGAAATCCTCCTACTGAGCACAGGGATGAATCCTGCACAGAGGGACCCAGCCCCGTGCTGCTCGCTCCTGGGATGCCTCCTTGCTCCAGGTGGCATCTCCCACCCTCCCACCAGGAGATGCATGGGGATGTCCCCAGTGCATCCCCCAACCGCCCCTGGGTAGGCAGGGAGGTGTCGCAGCTGTGACTTCCCAGTCTCTGGGGTGCTGCAAGGCAGGGCACAGACCCCAGGAGACCAAAGCCATCCAAACTACGATGGGGACGGAGCCCAGGTGGTGTCACCCCGTCACGGCCCAGGCACTCACGCTGCTGTCGTCCCCAGCCAGGGTGCCGGGGTTTCCGGAGAGGTCCAAGTGCCGGAGGGAGGATCCGATGGCTTTGTTATCTGCGAGGGCCTTGCACAACGTGCTCATCCCTGCTTGAGGAGAGGGGGAGAGATGGATGCCCGTGGGGCCCCTGCACCAGGGAGAGCCATGGAGCCAAGGAAGGGGCACTTTCCTACAGCTGGGGCAGCAGGACGTCGCATCCTTGACGATGCCCTTTCCAGGGTGTCCCTGCAGCCCCTCCAGCCACCCCTTTGGTGCCAGCTTGTCCCCAAGCACCGCTGTGCCCAGCCTCCCAATGGCACCCAGGCAGGGAGCGGGATGCTGGGCTGTACCTTTGGCAGTGAGCATCGTCCTAGCCAAGCTGAGGCTCTGCAGACCCTTGGGACTCTTCTCCACGTGCCAGCTGAAGGCAACGATCCCTGATGAAAGAGCAGAGAGCCCTGAGCGGCCGTGCCAGCGCAGGCGGGTGTTTGTCCCACCCTGAGCTACAGCCCCCCAGGGCGGGGGGCAGCTGCCAGTGGGATCCAGAGTTGAACATCAGTTTTCATGGGTGAAAACTCATCCCAGCCCAGAAGTTGGGTACCTCTGTCTTCCAGCTGGTTGCCAGCAAGGTTGATGGTGTGCAGGACAGAGTCGGGATGGTTGCTGAGCGCCTGGGCCATCCTCTGCACGAAGTCACTGCGGGGGAGAAGGGCCACCCATCTGAGCAAGCTACGGCCACCTCCAGGAGACACGGCTGCCAACCCCGCAGCCTTACGGGGACACGCCACCAGCACCTACCCACACGGCAGAGCCAGCTCCATCCGAAAGCAGAGCCTCTGCAAGGGTGGGTGATGCCCACTGGCCTCCAGGCTACTAACAGTGAGCTTTATGCTGTGGAGGGGATGGGGCACCAACACCCCCCTGGCACACGGGTCCATGGACCCCCCTGCTCTCATGCACGTGAGGGGATCACCACCGGGCTGCCGAGACCCTGCTCATCACCGCGCCAGGGCCCTGCAACGCCTTTGCTTACGCTTTCAACCCGCTGTTTTCCAGCACCAGCTCCTCCAGCGTCACCGATTTGCTGAGCATGTAGAGCAGCTGCTCCGAAATCTCCTGGTTCTGGCAGGGGAGAAAACCTTTTTGGAAACCCAGCCATCTCCGGCACGCCCAGCGCCGCGGCGCCAGCACTCACCAGCCTGAAGTCCTTGCAGGAGAGCTTGGTGAACCACAGGTTGAAGGACAAGGCGGCGACACTCAGTGCCATGTCTCTGCAGGGTGACAAGGACGAGGGAGTCGGGGGCCAGGCTGAGCCAAGCCTGGTCCCAAACGGGTGCCCCAAGACACCCAACCCTGGGGTGCCCCAACACACCATTCCATGGAGCCGGACTGGGATCCATGAATTTAAAGCAACCCACAAACAAAACTCAGCTTCACCAGGTTATTCCCTCAGGGAAAATAACATTAATCAAAATATTTGCATGCTTCTGTCAAACACTGGGTGGTTTTTTTTTTAATCCTGAGCTCTCATGTAAAGAACGACACGGGTTTTGCTGGAGTGGAAACGAGTTTCAGCTGAACCCTCGCTCCATCTTTCTCGGGATGGAGACGTGGCTGAGCCCCACGGGGATGATTCTGGGCACAGCCAGAGCTCATGGCCCCGCTGTAAGCTTATAACCCCGTAACAGCTATTTGTTAGATATATATATATATATTTATATATGCGAGGGGGAGCAGAGCCGGCTGCTTTGCATAGGGAAACACCTGACAGCCATGAGCTGCCAGGAGCCGGCAACGGTCAGGCCCCGCTGTAAGGTTATAACCCCGTAACAGCTATTTGTTAGATATATATATATATATTTATATATGCGAGGGGGAGCAGAGCCGGCTGCTTTGCATAGGGAAACACCTGACAGCCATGAGCTGCCAGGAGCCGCTGCAACGTTCAGTTTTCACCCCCGTAAGCAGCTCGCAGGCCTATTTAAGTGTTAAAAATGAAGAGGGGAGGCTGCCCGGCCTCTCGGGGCTGTCGCCCCATGGGACGGGGCTCATTGTGTTTGGTGCGGGGGAGTGTCAGCCTGCAGATGCGGCGTCTTCGGAGCGAGTAAAGCGACAAAAGCTTCTAACACAAGCGGAGGAGCGTGTTGTGCCACCCCTACCGTGGACGGGGAGGATGGGGACAAGTGCTGGCATGGCACGAGGCACCGCACGCGGCACGGCCAGGGGACTCACCGGCTCTCCAGGTGGCTGAAGTCCAGCAGGTTGAACTCCCGGCAGTCCTGGCTGTGGTAGATGTTGTCCACGTCCTGTCCGGATGGACGGACACACGGGTCAGGCTCAGCACCTGGTCCTGGGGAGGGCTCGGGTGCCCGGCGCTGCTGGATGGAGCTGAGCCCTCGGGGACCCTCCCCTGGGGAGCCCCTTGCCTAAATCCCGAGCCTAAAACCTCCCCTGGCGCTGCAGCTGCCAGGGCACATGTCCCATATTGGTGGGACGGCTCGGTGGGTCTTGGACCCCTTCTGCAGGGGCTGGCCAGAAGGCGGCAACGCGCCCCCAGGCTGGTGGAAACAAGGGTGTGGGGAGAGGTGGGCTGGAGTCGGTGTCCCAGCGGAAGAGGGGGAGACCTGGTCCTGCTGTGGCTGGGTCCCAGCAGGGTTCTCCTCTACTGGGGACACCCAGCAAGATCCCAGATTTCCAGGGGCTCTCCTTACGTGACAGTCTGGGAAACAACCTGGTCCAAGGCATCTCATCCCTACCCGCACTTTGATTCCGCCCCACCAAGGAGCAGGGGACACTCAAGCCAGGCAAAACTACAGTTCCCAGCTCTGGGATGTCCCTGGGATGCTCCCAGCCCCAGCAGCCCTGTGAGCATCCTGCTTCCCTGCCTGCCAAGCGGTACGCTGTCATTGTCTCTTCTCCATGGGACAGACCAGCTTACCCACTGGATCTCCTCGCGGAAGGCAAAGCCGTTGTAATCACATAAAGCAGCATAGGTCAGCGAAAACCCTCCTGCAAAGAGAAGGCAGTCTTGGTGGCAGACCTTCCCACCAGAACATGGAGAAGACCTCTGGGGAGGGCAGAAAGCAGGAGAAGGATGGTGGAGGCTCTCCCTTCCCTCCTCAAAGGGGCCAGAGTGTCCTGCGTGGTCTACTGCCAGCCCAAAAGCGATCACACAACTCCAGGGGCTGTAGCTAGCTTTGCTTGATCCATGTAGATACCAGGCAAGGTGCATTGTTATGATGATAATAGAGGTATCCTACTCCAAACCAGGCTACAGGAAAAGCCCCCGGCTCTGCAGCGATGCCATATGAGGTGGGTGGAAGCATCCACAGCTGGACACCGAGCATCCTTGCCCCACAGCTGTCCTGCTCCTTTCTGGGGAGCTACGTCCCCTCAAACCTGCTCCTACCCCGTGGGATGGGGTGGGCTGGTGGAGAGCAGACCCCACTAGCAGGGCTCCTTCTGGCCTAAGCCACCACGGGTGCCCTGCCAGCAGAGGTGGGGGCTGTCAGCAGAGCTAGCGTTGACGGACGCTGGGCTGCGATGGTCCCCAGGGTGCTCCAACCCTCCTGGCCCATCCTGGGGGAGATGTGTAGGGGAAAAGGGCTTACCGCAGGGCCCGGGGCTGCTCTGCAGCATTTCCTCCAGCGAGTCCGTGATCCGCCGGATCCTCTCGTACAGGTTGGGGGGGGAGTTCTTGAGCAGTGTCCTGGGGAAGGACCAGAGGGGTGGCGTGGCGGTGGGCTGGGAGAAGAGCATCCCTACCACTATATGCTTAGCTACAGCCCCTGTGTGTGAGGGTGGCCAGAAATATCCTTCCCAATGCGATCGGGGAGCAGGGTCTGGCCTCCATTAATGTGGTTTTCTCCTGTTAAAAGGCGCTAATTGTGAACCCATCCCATACCTGGGGCTTTTCTGAGCAAAGAGTTTGCTCTGGTACCTACACAGCTACCCCTGAGGAGCAGAAGACCCTTACCCAGGGGATGAGTCTGGAAAGACCTTCTTAAGTGACATGGTGACATGGATGACAACTTGCTCCAAATCATCAAAGGACATGAACCGGAAGGCGTAAGATGCTGCATCCGTTTCTATGACAACCTGCGGGGTCCAAAGGATGGGAGATGCCTGAGCGAGCTGGCAACACACGGTGTCCCCAAGCCCCCAGACACAACGGTGACAGACACCAGCCCCTCGCTGCCAACACTCAGCCGCTGCTTATAAACCCAGCCAGAGCACTGTGAGCACAGGGAAGGCTGCGAGCACCAGGAATTTTGGATAAAATACATTAAAGAGATCATAATGTGCCAGAAGGCGGCATAAACCTCCCCAGAATTCAAGCTAAGCTAATGCAAAAGCAGCCCAAAGCAGCGGGGGTGAGAGTAGCCTTGACTCTGCCTGCAGCAGCCACAGCTGGGAGGACAGAGGTTTCCTCCCTGAATTTATCTAATCGGGTTTTGAAGCTTTTTTAGCTTTCGGTTCGTACCAGAAAAAAATCCCATGGCAACACGCTCCCTGATTTAATTACACGCTGATTGAGGCGTGGGAGCGAGATGACAATTATCTGCTGGCATCGCGTGAGGACGGCGCTTCTGCCGGTGCCCGGGGCTGCGGGAGGCAGCGGGGCCCGGCCCTGCCTGCAGATTAATAACCCCTGGGCTTTCCATATCCCAGTCAGATGTCTCACCCCCCCTCCAACCCTGGGGTTTCAACCACCAGCACCCCTCGCTCTCTGCCCAGCTCCCCTTTATTTCTCTCCCGGGGCTCAGCCACGCAGCCTGCCCAGCAGCGGAAACCCCCTTTAGAGGCTGGGGCCATCGTCGCTGACGATGCTTTAATGAGCAAGAGACAGACAAGAGGTTAACGAGGACCGCAGCCCTGTTTCGGCCGACACATCCAAGCCAGGGCATCCCTTTGCTCTCCTCCATGGTTCCCACCCGCCCCATCTGACCCACGTGCAC